CCCTGCTGCGCTCGACGAATCCGGCCAAGCAGGAGACCGCCACTGACCGGGCCGCCCACGCCATGCAACTGCATGAACTCATGAACGCATAGAGCAGTGGGGCTTGTGCACTGACCCTGGGCCATACGTGCCCGAATCCCTTGATCAAATCATGTGCTTTGAGTGGCCCTTTTACGCCCTTACCCCACAATTCCAGGGTTTTGGTGTCCACGACTGAGAGACAGTTTATTTTGTCAACCGCATCCCCCCTCCTCTTTTTATTTCTAAACCAAGAACCAGTTCTCCCAGACACATGCACACAGGAGAGGGTCGACCCCAACGCCTGCTTTGACGCTCTCCCGTGCTACTGTATGAGAGACACTCAAGGAGGCATACAGCAAAGATTTGCAGGTGGTGGTGCATAGTTTGTGGCTAGAAATAACTTTCTTTCCTGAAGTAAAACGTTTTTGTGCGCCACAGTCGGGGAAGCGGGGAGCTTTCAAATACAGCGTTTTCGTTTATTCTGTCTAGGTGGCGTTAGAGAAAGATTTCGGTTGTAGTTACGAGATTGATGCAGATTGCTTAGTATTCCTACAGCATTAGTGTGCTATTCGTGTGCATATTTGTATGAAAAGATCGTAACTGCTATTTTTTCAGCTACTCGTGCTTAGATGTCAGCGCCATTTGAAGACTTCAACGTTTTGGTGACGTCTTTGGGAGTATATTTTTAGACAATTTACGAGCTTCGTTTAACATCTATTCGCTTTATCAAAAAATGCTACGTTGATGACATAGATAAGGACCCTTAGTTTCTCTACGCGCAAAATTAGCCACCTAACTTCAGTATATATCCGCGAAAATGGACCATGTTGGTCCATGTATTGATAATGTTGCCCAGTTTAGATCAAGACAATTAAAAGTCATAGGACGTACAATATTGATGTTTCACCTTCAGACAGAGAATTTTATCGCCTACATATGCTCGAAAATGATTTTTCTCTAGCGAACAGCTACTGAGCAGTCTGCAGTAAAATTTACTAAATTTGTCAGTTTTCAAAAGCTAATCAGCTCTAAAGTAGAAGTCCGGCATTAATTTGCTTTGTTGAATAATTAGATTGATATGTCTAGGAAGTTCTGTTGAAAGAACAGTGCTGTAACTGTAGCAGTTTTCACAGAAAATGGTCACTACTGAGGCATAGTCAGCCGAAACGTTTTAACTAGCGCTTATTCCTGGCTCTCCACACGGAACTACTAAGAGCGATTTGTTTTAATAGATAATTTTGAAATTAACAAAGATCAATACTTTTAATGATGTATTGGTTAACTATATAAAGCAGGAAGAACAGCCACTGTGGCAGTTGTAAAAGTAACAGAAACGCTGTGACCTTACGTTTGCTGAATTGTATGGTCAGTTAATTTTCACGCGAAAAAAAAGAAAAGAATAGAACTAGACAGGAGAAGAAAATTTGGATAAATTGTATAGCGAGTCTTGATACATAACTTTTTCGCGCCACAGAATGGTTCCGAAATCACTTCGTTAGTTTGGTTTGGTCGGTTGAAATCAACTAGCTCAAAAGTTCTTTAGCAAAATATTTCAGCAGCATTAGAAGATATTTCGTTCTTATGACTGTATCAATGTGTGTTTGGATGTTAAGCCACTTCTTCAATTACGTTTCTTAAAAGTGGGCTCACTTCATTGAGTTGCAGTTCTAATGAATACTCCACCATCGCTGGCCACAGCATCTCGCAACAAAAATGCACCGCCACTGTGATTTGCTTTTCTGCTGTTAGCACCCGTTTAGTTTATACATTATCCACTGTTCCATTGCTAAAGCCCGCTTTGAACAAGACAGATCACGATTTTTTACACAGTGATCTGTAAACTTCCACAACATAATATACACCCCCTGACACATCAGTTACTGCGCTTTCATAAGTTACAATCTGAACATTACTTGCCTATTATGGTGTTTTAACTTCTAACATGGCATGTACCAGTCATTGTAACTTTTATGTCAGACGAAAATTAAGAACTCACCAAAATCAAAATGCTGTACCAGGTTTGTAACCTATAAAATACAGGTTACTTTACGTTTTAACCTTTTGTAAACGTTACCGGTATTAGAGTGTAGCTTCGCCCTATCATCATCATCCAATTCGTTAATCAGCTGCCAAGTTTTTTTTTTTTTCTGAGCTTGTCTCATTCTTCGCACTGGGTAAGAATGTGAAGTTTGAGAAATGGTTCCCCACATTTGCAATATTTGCGTGGATCGCCACCAGACACAACACAAGACGCATGTTTGATGCGGGTGTGTTCTGTTCATAGCCTGGTTAAGGTTTTTTTGTGTGTCCTGGCTTTGATATTGGTGGCCAGTTGGGACGATGGGGATTCATAACATCTAGTTTATCCGGCATTTCTCGGTCTTACGCACTGGCAGTAAGCCCGAGTGTAGTCCGTAGAAGGCAACCTAGCTCCACTGCAGAGACTGCGTAAATGCCGCCTATGACTCATTTCTACATCTTTGTAAAAAAGTAAAGAAAAATAATATGGAAAAACTCGTATGTACTTAAACACACAACTAGTTTAAAACCAATTATGATATAATAAAGGAGGGGTAGGCTACCCAAAATAAATTTGGAGTCTAAGCAAATCTTGAAAATACAAAAGAGGAGTTGCAGAAGCTAACAGACAGCACACGTACAAAAAAAAAGCTGCCCTTTGCAATTACGCATGGTTGAATAGAAGTTTTGGAGATTGAAAGGGCTTCTCCTATTAGTGGAACTTTCTTGTGATACATTTTGATGTGCTATCAACTTTATACTGTGGCACTGATGATGATAATCGGTTGTTTATTCTACTAATAAAGGCAAAATGAGTAAGCAGGTGACAGCACCTAGGCGAGGTAGTTCCGGAATCTTGAAAAGAACCTAGCAGCAAAAGCTTGATACTTGGTAGGTATACAAGCGGCAGGCGAAATACACAGCCGGATATGATGTTTGGAATGATAGAAATTGAAAAGAATTCTTTTAATGAGGCCGGTAAGATGAAAATAAATGTTTGCAATATTGTGGTAGAAACACGAAAACATGGTGATGAAAGAAAGTCATGAAAATGAGCGTCGGTGTTAATGTGTGAAGCAGCGTGCATATGTCAATGTTACTACCGTGAAGATGGCCTCACCAATGTTAGCACAGACAACGGGCGCGGTAAGAATGGTCTAGCCCCTTTTCAATGCAGTACTGGAAATCAAGAAAAAAAACTTGGACTGTACCGGAAAAGTGATGTGACACGATGCTAAGAAACATAAAGGTCATGGTTCTGAAATGAAAGGGAAATGCTTAAAGTCTGCTCAGCTGGTTAACGTGTAACCAGCTGGAGAAGCCCTGCTCACTTTTTCAGGTTGTGTAAAATTTTTGGATAGTAGTATGGTTGAGTGTCGAAACATGAAAGAGGCCTTTTTCCTGCAGTGGGTGTAGTCAGGATGATGACCAGAAGGTATTTAGCTAACCCGTATCTGCCCAAAACATTCATTTATTTAAAAGTTTGAGAACTACTACTTAGTGAAACTTCCGTTCCAAACAGAGAAAATAGGACCTGACAAAAAGTGAGTGGTAGACAGAATTTTTTGTTTTCACGAGAAGGCACCGTATGTGTCTAAAAATTCACATCTTCTGTTATTGCCCATGAACGTTTCTAATACCTTGAAAGGTTGATGTCTTATTGTAATAATTATTAATAGCCGTGCAAGCATTCGAGAGATACGCGAGCAAAAAACGTTTGTAAACTATATTGTGAGTACTGCCGTAAAGAAAAAATGATAGGAGAGGAGCCCCGTGCCATGCGATGGAAGCGCAACTACTAAAAACAACCCCAGTAGAAGTCCAAGTTAGGTGGTTGAAGAAATGCGCTTCATGTAAGCGTTAAGTAAAGGAGTGCTTCTAGCAGTGATGACGCCGTGTGATTCTCGCGCATCGAGTTCTGGCTCAGCGCTCCGAGTGCAAAACGGCACCGTTAGAGTGCCACGACCAGTTATAACCATTTGATGCACGCCAGCAGACAATAAAAACACTGCTTGAATTCACACTCAGGCCAGGCTTCACCGCGCTCTTATAAGGCACATCCACTAACCAAACACTTCAAGGTCGAGTCAGCCTTGCAATATTAATAAGAATAATTATAAATCAGTAATTGCCTTGCTGCCGCTGTACAGGAGCCAAAGATGGTCATATATCTCGCGCACCAGTTCTCATGCACCGCTGTCCCTTGAGTTCCTGATAACAGTTGCTCCTGGATATTGGTACGAAGGCGCTGCGATAAACTGCATGGTATGTAGCTGTTGTCTATCTGGGAGTAGACTTTCTCGGTAAGCGGATAAGCTGAGGTCCTAAAAGTGGCTGGAAGAGAGAAAATTCCACCAAAGTGTATGAAGTGCGCTGATTATGCTACTCTCATCTTTTTGATACGACACGTAAATTTCTCAGAGGTGTGCTTGAGCACGCTGCATTCGTCAAGCTTCATGATTGAGGCATTCGTGTTTGTTTTTAACATCCAGCGGAGCCCATCCGCACCTATGCAGTTCATAATTGCTTTACCTTTGACGTCCCTAGTGTAGCAACACGTCGACCCCGGCAGTGGCCGCAGGGATGTTGGCAAAATGACAACATCACAGCAATACGGCGTGGGTAATGCATACCCCCTGCCCCGTCTACTTAGTGAAAGCGGTCCAATGACAGGCTGTTGCAAAACAGGAATACTTATGCAACGCCAGGCACAATTTCTATTCATTTTGTAGGACGGTTGCACAACGTCGTCATACGTGACATTTCTGCCCTGAGTATGTGACCCCCAGCTTTTTTTAGGTCGTACAGAGTCCCCCGCAAGTTCAAGGCGGAAACAAGAAACGAAAAAGAAACAAAAAGAAAGAAAAAGAAGCACGGCTGGGCTGTCGTCTTATCGCGCGTGGCCTCCAGTAGTCCACTCAAGAAAAATCAGCTGGACGGGTGCCAACAAGCGAAGGGACCTCACTGCGTCGTCTCCGATTCGTGCGGAGCGCAAGAGAGGAGAAGCATCGCGTGCGAGGCCCTTTGCGAGAAACGCACACATCCTGTGCTGCTGCCGCTGCTGCGCCGTTCGACAGCTGCAGCCCCCACGCGCCCCGTAGGCGCCGCTTGCTTTGCGTTTCAGGTGAGTTTCTTCTAAAAGGCATCATAACCGGCATCCCTCTCCCTTAGACTGCGTCCTGGGAGAGGGATCGCCTCCTGATGTTTATCAAGTTCCGTAAACACATCTACTACCACTCATGCATCGAATTCAACGCTAGGAAAGCTACCGATACTTCTTGTAGTAGAAGTGTTCACAACTAAAAATGGTTTCATAATTTTGCCGCCAATCGTACGATTTTTTTTCACCTTTTGAGGATGATTACTTACGCTTTGCGCCGGAAAAAAAGAAGAAATGCTGCTTCTAATACAGTTGTCAGTAGGTTGTGCATTGCTTAGCATCACTTTAATTTCGTATCATTGCATCCGCGATAAGTGGCAGTAGGCAGCAGTCGGAGTCATGCACGGAGACCGCGTTTACAACGACTGAATCCAAGCGGGATACAGGCGGACTTATATATTTTTCTCACAAAGCTTCTTGCAGCGCTTCCACAGCGCTGCACGTGATTAATGTATAACAAGTGGCTTTTCAAAAGAACTGCACCAAAGAGAGTGTATTTTTTTTTTGGCAATGGGACATTCATGTTGATTTGAGTGACTGAGCCCGTCGAAGTGAACGAGGCTGGTAACCCGCGGAGTATGGGTGTTACTTTTCATATCCCGTGCTTATCGGCTTTGGATCGACAAGATTGGCGTCCCTCCAATGACGTGTCCTGATGCGAGTTACGTACGTCGAACACTTGCGAGGAATGTTTCAGCAAGGTAACAAATATAACCCCGAGGAAAAGAAGTGAAAACTTAAGTGCCTGTTTTTTGTTAGACATAAAATAATTAGAACTAATTGACTATGAAGTCAAGGAAAGTGTAAGAAATGCTAATAGTAGTTATTCTAATGTATATGTCAATAAAGAAAAGCCGAAGAAAAGGTCTGTACTGGAAGCAAGTTATCTGTTCGTTCTCGTTCTTTTTACTTTTACATTACAATAACTTCTAATAACATCTCCATATACTTTCCTTGCCATTATGGCTTGTTAGCTCTGTTAAAGATTGGTTGTCAGATTGAGTGCCCATGGGCACTCAATCTGACAATCATTCATATTCAAAGAGTAGCACTTATGTAAAGTTAGCATGAGTGGTGTCCGCTGACCAAATAACTATGAAGCCAAAGACTTGAACGAAGTTTGAAAAGATAGGGTCCAACACGAAGGCATCGGCTTCTAAAATCGAATGTCTTTGGGACAAAACTGGTTTTCTTGCGTTAGTTTCGTAAATGCAGTTCCTACTGGGCTTGAAAGCTACACTGTCAAGATGTCAGCCGTGCGTTTGACGCCGAAGGAAGAAATAGACCCGGATTGTATTTTTTTCTATAAGCACTGCGAAGACACTGCCTATTGACAAGGCCGGCCGTACCAATTAGGTAAAAGTTAAGGTTTTCACGAGAACGGGGAATCCACATTGGGAGTCGGTAAAGTTTATTGTTTAAGAGAGCATAAGCCTCTCCCACTGTGTGCTGTGCACACGCAGCACACCCCTCACTTTGCTGTGCTTTCGTGTGAAGCTGATAAAATTAGCGCAGTATTACTAAGCTTTCGAGATGTTCCCGCTGAGTAAATGTGAATTCCGGCAATTTGTCACAATTTTTCACCACACAAACCACTTACCATCATTCAGTATATAGTCATAACTTCATTTCTCTACAAGACTTGTAAAGTGATCGCTAAAAAACATATAGCCGAAATAAGTTTTCTTGGTTCCACTTTCACTTGAAAGTTGCGTATATTGCCTCGCCGTGCGCAAACATTTCGAAAACAAAATCATTTTTTATAATGGTTTAAATATGTCTACTTCTTTCATTCGAAGGTATGAAAAAATAGAAATAAAACACCTCAAAGAAGCCGGCAACATTCTTTTGATTGGCCACACACAAGGCTGACTTGTTCGAGCGATGACAACAAAAACACACCAAATGCTGTAACCGTCCCACGTGTCCTCTGGTGAAGGTCACACTACGTCGTACAAAGCCAAACTACCGGCTTTTCCTCTCGCTGTCTCTTAGCATTGCTGGGTCGGCCGTCAAGTGAAAGAGCGGGTGGCCATAATCGCTTCCGTGTATGATGAAATTGTGAATCGCTCGCCGACCAGGACATTTTATTCCTCGTAGCACGTACCCATTACTTTTTTTTTCAGGGTGAATCGTTGCATAGCTGGCATACCGGTGCACATCAGCGCCCGCGTGCGTCGTTTTACCTCCGTTTGGTGAGGCCAAGGTGGGTGAGGCAAAGTGATTGATATGTGGGGTTTATAACGTCTCAAAACCACAACTAAATCATGAGAGACTCCGTAGTAGAGAACTCCGAACATTTCGACTATCTTGGGTTTTTTAACGGGCACCCAGCACGTGTGCCTACAGCATTTTCACCTCCATCGAAAAAGCAGCCGTCGCAGTCGGGACTTGATCCCGTGACATGCGAATCAGCAGCTGTATTTCGCAGAAATTTAAGCCTCACCATCGTCATTGGTGTCGACATCAGCGACGTTGGTCGGGAGCGAAACATCGTCATACTTGCATGACTGAAAAATTGAGAAAGGTAAAAATGGAATAAGAAATAAAAAGAAAACTATGTGTCTGAGTAAGAAACGAACTCGGATCGGAGCCTTTGCGTTGCAAGCGGGTGTTCTATCACACAACCACCTCTCTGCCTGTGAATACAGTGGAAATAACTTCCGTTACTTGAAAATTCAGTGAAACTTTCATGCTTTACAAACACGCGTCCTGTAAACATGCTTCACAATACAACATGAACTTTTGCCGTAGTATTGCGTGGTCCAAACGTACATAACCATCGAGTGCCACATCATGGTATGTTTGCAAATGCTTCATAGTTTAGAGCCTGCCACCCAGTACAAAAGGCACACACACTACTGCACCCTTGAGGCCATGTAGTGGGTGCATAGCAAGTTCGAAAATATTTCATACACTAAGTGTTTGAAGTACGCACTAGGAACAGAATATCGCTAACACGGTCAACTCGTAAAGGTGAAGCTTAAGGGTTTCCTTATTTTTCTACGTGCGGTAACTGCAGGTACATAAAATTTCGCCAGCATCGAAGCCATCGTGAGGGTGCAACTAAACACAACACACAAGAAGAAACAGACGAGGAGAGACGCAATCTACCAACTTGGTTAATTCAAGGAAGATTCATGCATTTATACATCAACACCCTGCGCAGCGCCACCACCACATAAACCAAGAAAATTCCAAGCAGGCAAAAAAACAATTAGAATTCAGCATTGTACAGCGCTTATACGGGACCCGTATAAGCAGCGAGATATTCAAGAACTGGAAGCAGTCTAAAAAAAGGGCGGTAAGAGACATATTTCATCGTTACAATCAGAATTCCTCAACTTATTTTACTCTATATATCTTCATTGCAATTAACTCCACTTCATTCGCGTCACCGAATAGAGTCTTTGTTACTCTTGCTCAGCATCGTTTCATCCACTGTAAAACTGTCAAATAAGAAAAAATACATAAAGTGCGCCCCACAGTCATCAAGAAGCTATCCTAACTTGAATTTCAAGCCTTACTACGCTTGAAGCAATATGTTCAAGCTAGATTTTTTTACCTGTTTTATTGAAGATTAGAATTCGTTACCTGATTCTGTTCGTTCATGCCCATCGCAGAGTCTTGTAGCCCAAATCCATAACTCACATGTATGAAATACGCTTATCTGTTTGCAAATGATAATTCATTTTTTCTCTGTTTTTCCTTGTGTTGATATTTTTGCCTTAATGCTCCCGTGACGTTAATATGGCACCGGTTTGCGTTAGTTTCAGAGTTGTTAGTTATATTTTTGTATATCCTTGCATACCCACTCCTCCCATAGCGCTATTAGCGCTGCAGTATGTGTAAAAAATAAATTAATGAATGTAGGTTTCACTCACGCACTCGTCACCTGCTTCTTTAATGAAAAAAGCTTCTAGCATTTCGTGAGCCGTTATATTTATACTTCAAGTAAAACTTTTTGCACAGCAAAATCGCTGTTCACACTGTGGGCAAGCCATGCAGTCGGTCACAAGGTGACTTCTCTCATTATCATAAGAAGATTTTTCTCGTGTTCCCTGAGTAGGTCACTGAGGCAGCACCCTGTCTGGCTGATGGAGACTTGGCCGCAGGAGTGGCTAATTCCATACACGGCGTTGTTGGCACACTTCACAAAATGTTTTTCAGGATTTTTTAGGCAGCCCCCCCCCCCCCCTTTAGCTCCATGCATGTGGTATAAAGGTGTGGATATTCCTTGAATATAGCCAGTTGGTAGTTTGCGTCTGTCCTCGTCTGTATCTTCCTGTGTGTTGTGCTTAGTTTTGCCCTCACGATGGCTTCTATGTCAGAGCACCAAATCGCCGAACAGGAAACTCTTTTGAATTCAGCCAGTCTTTGACCTCCTTCACATTACTTGCCGATGCAGAGCTTACTTGCGTGAAGCTTTGAACCGTGCAACTGATTTATTATATTGAGCAAAGTTTCTCAATTAACTTTCTTTGAAATAAACTTTTAGATCAAGTGGACGCTGATATGCAAATTTCAGGCAATCGATCTGTGATGAGTGGTGGTAATGACTTCACACGAGGCACTTGCTTGGAAAACAAAAAAAACATCAAAGTGTGCGACAGCAATTATTGGGGCTTGAGGCATAGTGAATTTGTCTTTCCTCTAATGAAGTTGAAGAATGACATCCCTGGCCATACAGGTCAGCAGGTCGGAAAGTATTCAGAGCACACCTTGAACGATTATGAAAAAACTGCCGACACAATAGAGAGTTTTAGTAATGGGTACACAAGCTACTGTGGTGCCGCAGGCATGGGGGCGCGTGGCGTTGCGTACCAACCTATGCCCAGCCGAAATGACTTTTAGCGGCGAGCATGCAAACGCGAGCCGCACGAAAGTCACACGCGCTCGCAGCACAATAGCGTCTTGTCACGTAAGAAGTTTTTAAATATTTTTGCGAATAAAAATGTTAAAAT